TATATACACACACACAGCCAAAAGAAGGAATTAAGGAAAAATAAATAAGCCTTGGAAGCCTGTTGAAGCCTTAGATAGATGCAAGGTGAAACTTAGTACTCAGGTTTAGGTATGTAAGCATCCTGAGCTATGTGTAATGCTTGCAGATAGCAGTTGTCCTACAGTGTGGAACCTAAATCTAATTGACAAGTTTGATCTAGTGTGCAAACTATTATAAATTATTTTGGAGTAAAAGTGGCTACAAATCATCCTGGTGGAAATCTGTAATTCATTCTTTCCTTGCAGTGAACATATATAAAATATGTGTATGTGTGTATAAAGAATTATAATATAAACCATGAGCTAAATTGTACATAATTTATTTTTGCTGTGAAAAACAATTGACCTTGACGTTAATGAATTCCTTTGTTTTTTAAGAAAAATTGTACTTTGCTTTTTACCTGGTTTTCTCAAATAAAAATTAGACAATCGTTATAATTTTTTTACATATCAGTGCAGTTTTGCAAAATGCACTTATAAAAAGGAAAGTATAATGTTGCATAAGATTGGGATAACCTATGAAAAACTAGCAGGCAGAATATAGTTGATCATAAAACCTTGATAAGTAAGTCAAAAGATTATAAGTGGTAGTCATTAGTGTAACCCTTAGTTTTGCATACATGCCATAGTTTTCATTTTAAACTATTTTATTTGACATTAATATAACCTTATTAAAGATGACCTAAATAAATGGAAATAAGATTTAAGGTGTCAGTCCTGCACAAATTGACATATAGATTCCATATAATCTCTACAAAAATTCCATCTGCCAGTTTTTCTTTTGGAAATGGCCAAGCTGATCCTAAAGTGTATACAGACACACAGAGGACTGTGACTAGCCAAAAGAGTCTTAAAGTTTCTCAGTTTTTTTCAGAACATAATGTTTACATTCCCTGTGGGAAGCTGGTACATGTACATGATACATCTTAACTACTTTTTCATCTGCTTTCCATTCCCTTCCTCCTCCCTCCATCTCTTGAGCCTCTTCCTTTTTTTTTTTTTTTTTTGGTACAAATTTCCAATATATAATGTTACATTCCTTCTGTGGAATCTGTACATGTACACACATCTAAATCCTTTTTCATCCCCTTTCTCTCCCCTCCATCTCCCCCCTTCTATCTCTTGATGCCTTCCCCTTTGGGAAAAGCCATCTCCCTACTTCCTGTTGTCTTTTATTTTGCTCCGTATAATTTGGGATTCTCATAAGACAAATCATGTGATATTTAAGCTTATATGTCTGATTTATTTCTGTTAACATTATGGACTCAAGGGGCATCCATTTTTTTTTTTTTTTGGTTTTTCTCTGGTACCAGGAACCGAACTCATGACCTTGCGCTTGCCAGGCAGGCGCTTTGCCGCTGAGCTAAATCCCCAGCCCCGGGGCATCCGTGTGTATTCATTTTACCGATTTTTTTATTGGTCTTTTATATTGGGAAGTCTCATTTTTTTGAATTCTTTATATATTCTAGATATTAGTCCTATGTGTGAGGAATAGCTGGCAAAAATTTTTCCCATTCTATAGGTTGTCTTTTCACTGTGTTGGGTTTTTTTTTTGTTTCATTGGGTTTTTTTTGCTGTGCAGAAACTTTTTAATTTGGTAAAACTCCATTTGTTGATTCTCGATGCTATTTCCTGTGCAGCCAGGGTTCTGTTCAGAATGAACTTTCCAGCTGACTTCTAGTTTTACTGATTTTGTCTTGCAGTAGGTTCTTTCTGTTTTAACATTTAGTTGTTTGATCCATGTTGATTTTAGTTTAGTATATGGTAAAAGAAGTTTTTAAAGCTCCTTTGTTCAGTATTGGTAATTCATATGCATCTAAGAATCTCTCCATTTCTTCTGAGTTCTTGATTTTTTTAGCATATATTTGTGAAATAATTGCTAATAATTTTCTGGATTTTGGCATTGTCCATCATGATATTTCCCCCTTTTCATTTCAAATTGCATAGAATTGGGTCTTTTCTTTCCTCTTTTTAATTGGCTAATGGTTTGTCTATTTATTGTTTCAAAAAACCAACTCTTTGATTCATTAATTCTTCATATTTGGTCTCAATTTCATTGTTTTTTTCTCTGATCTGTATAATTTCCTTCCTTTTACTACCTTTGGGTTTGGATTGCTCTTGTTTACCTAGGACCATGACATGCATCATTTGTGTACTTATTAGGGCTTACTCTATGTTTGTGATGTAGGCATTCACAGCTATAAACTTCCCCCTTAGGCCTGCTTTCATTATGTCCCCTAAGTTCTGGTATGTTGTACTCTCATTATCTTTTAGTTCCAGAAACTGTCTTATTTTTTCCTTGATTTCTTCTGTAACTCATTGTGACTCATTCTTTATTAAGAGTACCTGTTCACATCCATTTCTTTGAAAGTTTTGTTCAATTCTAATATTTCTTTGTTCCTGTTTTGTCTAGTTGACCTGTGTGTGTTAGTGGGGTATTAAGATCCCTCACTATAATTGTGTTTATCTGGTCTTTTATGTCAAGTATACTTGTTTAGAAAGTTGGGTGTGCTGTTGTTTGATGTATATATGTTAATAATTATCATCTCTTCCTGTTGGATTGTTTTCTTAACTAATATGTAGTGACCATCTTTGCCTCTTTTGATCAGTTTTTGGCTGGAAGTTCACTTTGTCTGCATTTAGGTTAACTACACCTGCTTTTTGGGAGGTTCCCATTACATGTAATGTTGTTTTCCATGTCTTGTTTTTTATTGTATGAGTTTCTTTTTGTGTTAAATGTATTTTTGTAGACAGAATACTTTGGAATTTCGTTTCTTGATCCATCCTACCAGCCTGTCTTTTGACTGTGGAATTGAGACCATTCATGTTGAGAGTTATTACTGATAGCTGTTAACTTTTATTCCTGTCATTGCCTTATTTTCCCATTTCTTCTCTACTTAACTACTCGCCCTACCTGATGTATTCATTCTATTACACCTTTTCTTGGTGTTAGCTTCATCATCTCTTTCCAGGGTATCTTTGAAAATGGTTTGGAATATTGGTTTGGTGGCCAGGAATTTCTTTAGATGCTCTTTATCAAGAAATTATCTTATTTCTCCATCAACTGTGAAAGATAATTTTGTAGGATTTATCAGCCTGGGTTGGAAATTGTTTTCTTTTAGCGTTTGAAATACTTCACTCCAAGATCTTCTGGACTTAAAGGTTTGTGTTGAGTAATTTGCTGTAATTCTAATGAGTTTTCCTTCATAAATGATTTGTTGCTTTTCTCTGTTCACCTTTAATTTTCTATTGTGTTGAACTTTGTTCTTTTGTGATGGTGGTTATTTGGGGTTCTGTATGCCTCAGTTATGTTAAATTCTTTTCTAATTGCAGCTCTTTTAGGGACTCATTCTTTTCTGTGCTGATCATGCATTTTGCATCATTTTGTTTAGCTATTCTAGTTTATTATTGTCTTCTATAGACCTGCTGATCATTTTGTTTATTTGGCCCTTTCTTTTTTGGCTCAGATATTAAGTGAGTTTTACCAGATGCCTTATTGATCTAGTTTTTTATCTCGCGGATAGCATTTCATGTAATTCAGGTATGTGGCTTTTAGTTTCCTTCCTTTCGATGTTCTTTGTATCAGTTTGAAGGAGTTTAGGAGTTTTGGGAGGTGTTGTGTTGGCTTGTCTTCTCCTGTTTCTATTTTTATTTCTTTGTGTTGAGGCTTGTAGGTTGACTGTAGTGGGAAGCTGCATTCCTAGTACGGACCCCATCAGTTCATGTCTGCTTTTCAGTTGTGCCCTCTGACCGTGGCTAACTCTTGGCCATTGCCTCTGTCCTAGGTGCCAACCACCTCTGTTTACTTGAAATGAGAGATTGCAGTGTATTTGGCACAGTACACAATTTTCCAGGAATGGACCTTAGTATTATTAATTTCAATTCTTTTACATTCACTTAAGCTTGCTTTATTGGCTAGTATGTGGTCTATTTTGGAGAAAGTTGCATGTATTGCTGAAAAGAACGTATATTCTGTTCTTAGTTGGAATGCTGTGTGGATACCTATGAAGTCCATTGACCCCAAGGCAATCCAGATATTGGCATCCCACAAAAACCAATTAATAGCAACAGCTATGTCACCTATAATAATAAAATCATTATCAATTATAATGTCAAATACAAACTTTATATTGACAAACCCTAAAGACCGATAATGTACTACCCTTAGCTATAGAAAAAAATATATAATTGTAGTGTAAACTCGATGACAAACCAAATACTGACCTAAAGTAAGTATCTATTAGATGGAACAACTTTGCCTCCACCAACAATAGAACAGTGTTCAACAGCAATAGCAGTGGTTAACTAACTACCTAGAGGTTCAGAAGCTTAGTAGTCATGCTAGTGAAGGAA